AAGCACACACTTCTCCTTCTGGGGAAAGCGGAGAAGACAAACACGTAAGCGATGTTAGTCACAGTGTTTTACCGCACTCTGAAAGGTGCCAGCAGACAACGATTACAAGCCCAAGCTCGAGAGTAAAACAGGCAGCRTTTAACAGTAGTGGCGGTATTTATAATCCACCTGCAACAGGGAGGGACCGTCTACACARTGCAGCGCTCATTGAGAAGAAGATTATGCGCTTTTTCCACTACAAACTCCTGCAAAAACTGACCCGGCCTTGTCTCGATGCTTCACCCACTTAAATGACAATCTGTGTGGCTGTAAGTTGCTGGTTTTGAGGAGGAGGTGAGGGGTTGTGAGAGCTGAGCCGGGACCCCGGCAGCCTCTCTGCAGAGCACTCTTCCTCCTGGGATGCTCCTCTCCAGTGGGGCCACAGCGAGAGCTTCATCCTCTCCAGGGTCAAAGCCATGCAATCAGCCAAGAGCCAGCACCTACAGCTGCTGAAGGATGGAGTTCCCTTCTCCTGGAGTCATAGTTGCCTAACTTACCCTTTTTCCAGCTGAAAACAGGAATCTCTGTGGACTCCACGCCTCTCTGGCCATGGACATTCCCCTGCTCAGAGAGGCAGTGAGYCATTCGGGTCATTAAGATCAGTGGTCAGGTATTAAGGCTGGGGGCGTTTTGCTCCATTATTTARTATTCACACTCAGAGCCGGAATGTGAGAATAGTGGCTGCGAATKACCAAAGTGGGTGTTAATGGAGCGCTTCGGACAGCCCATCGCAGGTGCCTTTGCTCCGAGAAGACAAGGTTACACAGCCGCAGGGTGACGGGCTGGCTCTTTACCGGACTCACTTCCCTAAGGAGCTGGGTTTCTCTTTTCTGGTTTTCCCTACAATCGGACCCACTTGGCTTTTCTAAGTACCTTCATCTGACTAATCCCAGAGAGTTCCATCCCATCCATCATCACTGGGTGCACTCTATTTGCCCTGCAAAGAGGCACACTGAGCACACACGCTGACCATCAGCAACTGCACTGCCTTGGATCGGTGATCACCTCAACATTTACACCCCTCTTTTAGGGTTTCTGACAGTCGGATTGTCAGGATTTTTTGTAGCATAGAGAAAAAGGAGTGATTTTCAGTTTTATCCTCCTTTCCTTGGGTAGCTCACCCCCTCRTGTGCTGCAGCTAAACGCTGCACTGCAATCACTGAGTAAAGAGGAGTTCTTCTTGTTTCATATGCTGGATAAAAGAAAGTCTCCTCCTGATGCATTCAGCCAAACTTTCTGTCTAGGAAGGTGTTTCACCTTCACTGCATAAAGTATCTAGCTTGCCAGAGAGCAGATTCCTATACTGTGGCTTTGCAGCTCTTAAATGTACAAAAATTGATGGCTATGCTGGGAAGGAAATGACAAATTTGCAGTATTGAGTGCTGGGAAAACAGTGATGATTTGGGGCCTGGAGTCTTTGAGGCATAACTTGCATGTAAGCAGCAACCTGCTCCCTTGTCTGCAATTTTCTTTCGCCAATATCTTTCTAACATGAGAGTATTATCATCTGAACAAGTCCCAGGAGAATTTCTGGTAGCCCTGTAGCTCAATAGCTGTTAAGAAAAGGACTTGAAGAGTACAGTTGTATGCGCTGGATATTTCCACCAAGAAGTCTGAACTACTGAACTAGAAACATCTCCAAAATATCCCTGAAGGCTGGAGATACAGGGTAACTCCACTCAAGTTCATGTACATTTAAAACTAGACCTTGTAGATCTTTCCTGAACTTACTCAGTGAGAGCACAGGCTGGATAATAAAGTCTGGCAAAGAGAATGACACAAAATACCACTTTTCCCTCCTCTCGCCACAGGAATTAATTTCATTTTCATACACTTTCATCCAACACAACAGGGAGAAAGAACATGAGAGTGGAGCAATGACACCAGGAACCAAACCCTCTCTAGSACACGTTGGTTTTTGTGATCAGTCTCTCCTCACTCCAGTCTTACCTCCAGGGAGTCATCAGCATTCACCATCCAGCAGTCTGTCCAGGTAGATATTATCAAAAACCCAGCAGAGAAAAAAGCAAAGAAGCAGCCCACATATTGGAGGARAAACCTCATGCCAGCAGGTCCTCAGCTCATCCAGGGCAGTGAGAACAGCAGTGCCCAGCCTAAAGCTGGGGCAGAGCCTCAGTGTCCCAGTGGCCAGCACCCTGTGGCAGTGCCCATGGAGAGCAGGACCTCCTGGCTTTGTGCAGATGCCATCTGGCAGGGATGGAGCAGGGGCAGTGCTGCCCRGGGTCAGGAGGAGGGTGAGAGCACCCACGGGAGCTGCTGCAGCCAATCCGCCCCGCACCAACACAGCTCCTGTCATGCCTGACTGAAGAGAAACAGAAACRGGGCTGTGCAGAGGAGAGGGGCAGGGAACTGGAGCCCTGCACTGCCAGGGGAGGCGGGCATCATGGCAGGGTTTGTCAAAAGAGGGATTAGGAAAATCAATCAAACTTGTTCTTCAGGGCAGATWTGAGCTCTGCTGAGGGGCACAYRGWAGAGCTCTCCTGTGCACACAYACATTTATTCCTGCTCAGGGGYTCATGCWCTARYRGGRAGCAAGAATAAAGTGTCTTGGKGTAGATYCYAGRCCCTTTGGTTGTTACCCTGTTGGTYCYTGGTGCAGGGATGATCYKGTTCAATSCAGGAATGTCACCAGGGAGGGAAAAGGAAAGGTATCACTCRTGGCCTTCAGAGCCAACACCAACCYCAATAACCAGCTCAGATATGGASCTCTGTGTTCTGAWTTTAAGTCAAATTT